TAAACAAAAATTAATAATTTATATTAATATTATATTAAATATAAAATCTTTCAATATATTGATCGTTTTTTGTTTAAAAACGATGCTTTTAAAGCGTCAAATAAATAATCTTTCCTCTCTTTTAATAAAATAAATGTTTCCTTCCTGTATATCCTCTTCATTTTCATTTTCATCTGCATTAACGAAACTCTATTCTATTAATAAATGAAGCTCTCATATTTTTCTTTATTATTGTAGCCATTAAAGCATATCTTACTGTGCTAGAAATTGTTAAAGATTAAGAAAACGATAATGGCAAGAATTAACGGTTTTATATGCGAGAAAATTTTACGAAAATGTATCGAATAATTTTTTTTTAATTTTAAAACTTTAATTATTACTTTAGTCATTTATTTATTTCTTTAATGATTGACTCATTATTGTTTTCTTTTATTAAATGAATATAAATAATTTGAATATAAATAATTGCACAATAAATTAAAACGGATAAATTGCACATTAAAATGGAGAAACGTTTAGCAGATGTCTATTGCCACCCACGTGAGATCGTTTTGCTTACATTTACTAATGAGAAAAGAGAATGCAGAATCGGAAAAATATAGGATATACCACTTTACTAGGATTTCCTTCTATGAATAATTATTATTACTTTATTCGTTTATTTTATCGGTTTATTTAAAGATCCTCACTCATTACTGTTTTTCCTTTAAGTTGAAATGTAAATGATTGCATAACAAATCATTAAAACAAAGAAACATTTAGCGGATATCTATTGCCACCTACGCGGGAATTTTTCTTACTTTTGCTAATGAGAAAAAAGATTTATGAAATCGAGAAAATATAGGGTATCTTCCAGATCACTAGGATTTCCTCCTACGAACAGTAAATTATGTAATGCTGTAAAGGTAACAAATGAGTGATATAACGGAAGCGTAATGTTAACAATATGTGGCCATGTCAAGAGAGACAATCGATAACTGTGACCTTGTCTCATGCAAAATCGATCGAATCACGAAACGTTGAATCGCTAGCAATGCAGTGGATTCGCGCGAATAAAACTTAAATCGTTAAATGAGTCATGAAAAATGATAAGTACGAGCTAAGCCTTCTCTCTTATCTTTTCTATTAAATGCATAGCATTGAGTTAGCCGCAATTTCCTTGATTCTGATTGACGTAAAAAATGGAATATTGCGGACGCAGCAATCAAATTAACAACGCGATATCTGTAGCTTAGAAAAAAAATTATACAAGGCAATATCTTAGAAAAAGATTATAATTCCTTGAGAGCGATCTTATCTGAAGAGAATTTCGCGTATCGGACTGAAATATTGAATTAATGTCCGCCTTGACAAATATTTAATTATTTCGTTGTCACTTAAATTATTTTTTTTTGCTTATTGGAAAAAATCATTTTTATTTTTTTTTTGCAATAACGGACAGAAGAAGTTAATTAAAATCATATCATGACAAAGAGAGAGCGTTTCATTCAATTTATCCGTAAGTAGAACACGCATTGGGATCAGAGGTGTATCTCTCTATTGCATCGAGCGCAACTGTTTAATTGCTAATTGCTCACGCACTATTCGGTACAACAGACAATAGTTCACGCCAATAATCGTACATGATATTACGCAATGATATGCAAAACGGGTCCAGTGTCAGCCGTTGCATAAGCAAAATGGGCACATCCCGGTTAAATGATTTCGTGTCCATTTATTCGTCTTAACAAGCTTCGCTTGAATTACAACTGGTTTGCAGGGATACTGAGAATGAGTTGTTACATGCACATTGAGCATTCGACCGCAGACATTCGTAGTCTCCCTAAGGAGCAGAATGCGGATGTCCTTAGCAATGCAACGTTGAGTTTTGAAAAATTCAACAAGTTTATTCAGCGAATTTATCAATTTTTATTTTTAATAATTTGTTCATCATACTTTCATATTTTTGCCGTATAAATCTGTATTTATTTTAGATCTTAAAAAGTTATATTCTTATTTCTTTTAAACGTTATATTCTTATTTCTTTTATTCTTCTATAATATATAATATGTATATGATCTCTGTATAATCTCTTTAAATCTAAGAGTTAATTCAATTTTTTTTTGATATCTGGAAACAGCAACTGCGAGTAAAGAATAAACAAAGAGATTTTGATAAATAATATAATCAAATTATAATTTATTAAATCATAATTTAATAAAAAAGTAACTGACAATTTTTTTGATAAGATTGAAAATGTAATTGAATGGTACAGACGACATAATAATGGAAATTAACTTTCTTGAGGAAATATTTTCTTAAAGAATGATTGAGCATTAAAAATTTTTATCTTATACTTAGCGTCAATATAGATATTGCTGAAATGATATCATTTATCATTTATCAGAATTGCATAAGATACTAACGATCCTATGTCTGTTACTGATAACAGTTTTGACGATTACATGCAATAAGATGTCAGAGGCGCCTTCTGTGCTAAATTTTTCGTACTGTACATTCATACCGACAAATAAGAATTTATTAAAGTAATACGAGCAATTTTTAATTACACTTGCTTGTATGAATTTTATTTTTACAGAATTCGCATAGCAGATGGATTCATCCATCGATGGATTCTTCATATATACGCAGGTGAAAAACGAAGTATGTATTCGAACAATGACGTTGTTTTATTAGTCGATCAACGTTAGTAAGTACAATAAAATTTTCACATTATTGCGAAAACGCTCTAGTTTTCTTTCTATCTTACAATTAGTTATACATATATTATTTTAATACTTATTATATATCGATATCACTTTGTGGTAATATTAGAAGTGTATAAATCTGAGATTCCTTAATTGCTAATATTTACAATTACGAGATTAATAATTACAAATATTAATGTAACTGGTCCTATACTTATACTAATAAGTATTGATCTCGGAATTACATATATTTCATCTAACACATACTAAATGATTAGCACTAATGAGTGTATCAGGAGAAGTGCTATTAGCGCTGTTTGTATCATTCTATGTTTATCATTCATTCGTAAGGATAGAATGACATAAATAATGCTAATAGCTTCTCTCCCGAACGCACCATGTCTCTTGTTTCGCTTTGTATATGCAGTTTTACGTGAAAGTAAAATTCATATAATGAAGTACAATTGTAAACATATTATAAATTATTATCTAAAACTCAGTAATTGTTTAATAATTTCTTTAAAATAAAAAGAAAACTTAGCAAGATCCTTTTATTTGAAAAATAAAATAATTATTTGAAAAATAAATAATTTACAATGAGATCAGCAATGAGAGTACAGCGTGGTACTTTGTGCGCAAAAGTTCATATATTTCATACTTAAAATGTGCAGTCATGTTGAACAGGTTAAGAAATATAATTGTAAACTAGCTCGTCCGTGTTTTATTATATTTTATCTGTTTACTTTTCCCTATATAACTGCAAATTTTTATTTCTGAAAGAATTTATATTTTTAATTTCTTTAAGCTATATATTTACTCTTTCGATTTAAATGGCATCTGAGTAATGACTGTATCTCTATCCAAAAGCGTAAGATGTAAAGAATTTTCGCTGAGGACAACTCAGCGAAATGTAATAGAAACGTTTGTACCGTTTAATGTAAGTATGAAATATGTATGAAGTTTTGCGTCGTACTCTCACCAATAGTTTTACATTTTACATTCTGCGTCCCAATCATCCGGAATCACTTCGTGCCATACTTGCTTCAGGTTTTGCAATAGGCAAGGACTCGTGCAGTTAGGAATTTCCAAACGATGCGCATTGTCCATTTCCGTATTATTCAAATATAGTGCCTTTGATAACAAACAGAGAATAGAATAAATTAGTTTATTATATAATTATTTTATAATTTATAAAATCAATAGAATAGCAATCGTGGGAGGTAAAAATATTTATTAGATAATATGCATGTAATATATTAGTATGCAAATAGGAACTATTTCAGGAATTCTGGATGAATCTCAGCAATTATGCAGAACCGCTAATTGTTATCATTAATTAATTAAATTGATTATGCGTTATTTCCGGTAATTACATAATGTAATATCTATTATAATTTTCAATAATGACGTAACAAAATACTTAGACAGAATTTGCAGTGTGTTAAAGTTTTCACGATATGTGAAACAATTTCTGATTATAAAAATACTCATAGCTGTATCATAAAACTTTACGATAATGATACTACGATAACTATATATATCCATACCTTTACTTCTTGATCGGCTCCATTATTGACGAAGTGTAGCTCCAATATGATCATCGCTCCGTAATCTGGTTTAAGAAGCTCATTCGTGAATCCCATTGACCTCATCACGTTAACGATAGTTATGTCGTGAGCGGAATAAAAATAAGATCGTCGTTTCGATTTGAGATTGTCTTTACTCTCTTCCATGTGATGTAAAATCTCTTTTAGTAGCGGGCCTACAAATGATAATATAATTTCCAAAACAAAATTTTGTAATATAATTTAAAAAGTGCATTTTTAGCGATATTTATATCGCTGTCGAGATATCGTCATACCTCCACGAAGACGTTTTTGGATAGTGCCCTCGGTGAAGATTGCGAGGCTACGAGCGGCTATTTCGCGCATCTCGTCGTTGTAAAAATTCTGCGTCCATGCTGGAAGCTGTAGATCGTGTTGCTCTTCGATCTCGAGGGTGTTGTAAAGAAACTCGACGTCGGTGATCGTGCTCATATTCTGTCCAGTGTGCTGCGTTAGTTTCTTATAATACTCGGCCATTTTCTCACCCGATTTTTTTTCTTCCTCTATATACGCCTGTTTTAGAGCCGCCTCTAACTTTGGACATGGTGCCTTCATCACAATCAGCTACAATAATATCACTGTATTGAAAAATAAGCTTCTTTATAGACTGTATTGAAAAATAAGCTTCTTTATAGACTTTCATATTTTTAACAAGTAATTTATCATTTGTTTAATTTTCTGCCGGCCAAATTGGACTTTGAAATCATAATCGATATATTGACTATGAATTTTGGTTATAAATTTATAAATCTGTAAAAAATATTATAAGTAAAACAATTCAACTTCTATGATAAAAACTCGTTGTTAAAGTTTTCATGAGTAGACAAGAATTTTTTCAGATTTTTATAGTCTGGAATAATTTGTCCTGATGCTCAAAAACTCAACTAACTAAACTCTTGCTAACGGGAGATACAAAATTTGACATAGCCAATAGGTTAAAATTACAAATATATCTTCTTATTATATGTATTGTACTATTTTAATTCGAATGTTTTTGCAACATAAAATGAAATTTGATGCATAAAATTTGATGTTTATACGCAGATTATAACAATTAATTGACTTGTTGCAATCTTAAGATTACAAATTACGTGTTTTTGCTTGAACAATAATAAATATTAAAAAAAAAGAGACCTTTTAAAACAAAGAGATAGTGAATAGGATTTCATATAAAATTATACTGTAAATTAAACTGTAAAACAAAACTCTTTTGATTTAACATTATAAATTTGATTTTGTATTATACTTTGTCTAATTCCCGTGGTGTCGAGTGTACAGGAACGGGAGTCCATGTCAAACCGGGCACGAACATGTCCTCGGGACTTGGTGTGAACAATCCAGCGAGTAATGCCAGTGCCGACATGACGCACCGATCCGCGTAGCTGCTACGTATCAGCGTGGCTGTGCTCTCGAATTTACGACCGATTATAGGGCCGTATTTTAAGCGTATCCATTGACCCATGTTATACAGTTGACGCATTCCTTTCTGAAAGTGGATTTCGAGATTGATAACGCACGTTGTGCATCATTATTCATGCTCGATCACGCGTTTTACAATCGTGATGCATGTTGTGCAAGGATATGATTTTATTTATAGCAAGCCTGGACATATATTATCGTATTATATACGGTAATATCGATTCATCAGTATCTGTGCGTATTTTGTTCGAACCTTGGTCAAAGAGCCCCAGCCATTGGGCCAATCGTAATTTATATGAGGATCCTTAGGATAGGTCTCTGTAGGAGTTCGGTCGCCATGACGAAATAGCTGTCAACAAATAATGATGATTTCTGTATGAGAGAAAAATACTGTTCATTTAACACACAAGTTCGTCGCGCTTTTCCTCATTTAATAAAGTCCTTATTTAAAATTCCTGAAGCAGGATTCGTTTAAATGCTATTTAAAAAAATTAAAGTTACATTACAAAAATTAAAGTAAACATTACAGATACTTTTAATACACTAAAAAAGAAATCTAGTAATAACTACTGAACGTATCTCGTTTAGCACATATATTGATTGAATATTTACTTAAATTATTATTAAGTTTAATTATATTAAGTTTGGTTGATACTATTATTACCGAACATAATTATAATTAATTGCAGAGGTATAAATAATAATTAAGATAATATTTAGAAAAATAAAAACAGCGTTTAGTTTTGATTATATTAACTAAATATTTGATTACAATTATTTTATCGAAGCTTTAGTATTTATCATTTAGACTTGATTATTATTATCACCAGATTTCTTTCAGTATATACCACATTTTATCTCGTTATTGCATACCATTTATGATGTTAAAATAAAGTGATTAAATATCTCGTAAAATTGTGAAGTTACCAGATTCAAATTTCATTAAACGTAAACATTGAAATTAAATTAACACGTTAATGGAAGCGGGATGACGGGCCAACTGTTACAAATGAGCTACTCACAAAAACCACCTGCTGTAAAGTGTCACGTTCGGTAACCAGAGATGCAAACGCCGTGTACGCTAATAGCATACAAGCGATGAAGGTCCCGAGTATTACCACGCTTACGCAAACGCCAAGCTTTCGGATACGACAATTACCCATCGAGGTTCGTCCTCTGGCCCGATCCATTTGGCCCAATTACACGTTTCCCGTAGCAATCTCAAGTAACTTCTCCAATCGTAGACTAGATGATAAACGAGAGCTCGTTAGCGGCTAACGCAATGAGTCCGATACAAACCTGCAGTCATTTAGCAGCTGTTCCTTGTGTAAAATAAGTTAGTACACATATAACTTTGCGCGATTGAGAACCAGTTGCTTTGTTTATCTCAACATTGGAATTATCCTTTCAGTTAGTGAATCATTATTTTAGCAAAACAGAAATTTAGATTATACAGATCTAACAATAACTATAAATTAAAGAAATAAAAACGATACACGGAGAGAAAAATTTGCTGTGAACGCTAATCCTATGCCATAATTTCATTTGCAAATGTAGAGATCGCAAATTATTTTTGTAGGTCTTACAAATATTTATTCTTTTTTATACTCGTTACAAAAATTATTTGCAACGAATGCAAAATATTTGCCAAAATGCAAATTTCTTTGCTATAAACAGCACACAAATTTGGCAATTAAATTTTGCAATCCTTCTGCGTTCATAGCAAAATCATTTTTCTCCGTGTAGGAAGAAATAAAAATATGATAATCTTTTCACATTTTTAAAGTTCGATACCCATGTTTGAAACTGATTACTAGAATCTAAATTATAAAATTATGTATTTCTTAAAAATGCAATTAGAAAATTCTTTTCCCTTTTTATTGTGTGACAAATATTGAAAAAAAAATGAGACTCCCACGTTTAAATCAAAGAAGCTAGTAAGCCAAAGATAGCTTTACTTATTTTCGTAAAAGATCACGGGCTTATCCAGTTTTGTAAACAAATGATTCATCGAATTCAATTACGTCAGACAGTTTCTCTGTATAGTATTTATTAGAAAAACACTTGTTTCTCTATCAGATAAAGAATACCGGTGCGCTTATCGCAGACTTCTTTATTATCTGTCATGTCATGGCAAGTTTACCTCTGCTCGTACACGACGTCGTTCGACTAACGTCAGCACTAAAAACTACCGTGGTCGATACGGCACTGCGACCGCTACAGCACGTCGTGCGGTATCCTCTTGACGTTCTTCGTGAAGCGCGCGGAGGGAGATGCGAGATGCGTGACGTGCGTGAATGCCGAACGAAATTGCACGTACTCGTAATTTGCAATCTGAAACGTGCAACAGTCGGACGCGAATCCGATAACACACACTCTGTTATTATTGTTGCTGCGAATCACAGAATCGTCCGCGGATAAGAGCCGACGGGTTCACTTCACGTTTCTGTTCTTTGCAGTACACTCATCCTCCTGCTGTACACGGCTGAAAGATCGACCGTGACGGCTTATATATACATGTGCGCGTGTATTCGTGTGTCATACTTACGTAAATTCCATATAAATGCGCATCTGACTTTCAGTTGCGCATCAGTTGCCTCTCGATTATGGAGCGATGTGTTGTTTTCTTTTCGTTATAAAGTGACTTCATTCGATGACTGTGTGATGTTTGAAGTTGATCAAGCGATATCGTTAACGGTTTTAGTGGTCTGTTAGTGATCTTTTATCTCTTATTGATAGTAAGGTGTTGATAAATGTTTGATAGTTACAACATTATTAATGGTTTTATAAGGGCAATAAGATAACCGCGTGTTTTTTATTGAAATATTCTTCGAAAATGAATGCGTAGTTTCAGAATGATACATATATATATTTTTTATTTTGTCAAGTCATTTGTTAGTTAAATCAAAACCTATATTGTCTATTTGTTAAAAAGTATTAATATTCTTGAAACTAGTTTTTTATTTTGTGACCTAATTATTTGAGACCTATCATATTTGATTCCTCTGTTATCTTTATTGCTTAGCAATTTTGAGCTTGAAAATTGATATTGTTACTTTTGAGAGCACGTAGTAAAAAAACTTTCAACGCGTTTTATTAAAAAATACTCAAAATATTGTCAAATTATTATATATTTCTCATATATAATTTTTAAACAGTCAAAAACAGAACGGTTACGTTTTTTTGTACTGAAAAACTGCTATTTCACTGTCGATAATTTACAATATACTAGAGGAATATGTGGCTTCTCCGTATCGTGTGTCTCCCACTTAAAAATTTAGTGATAAAGAGAAACAAGCTATATTTAGCATTGGGCACAAAGAATATACGGAATATGTTGTCGAAATAAATATGCGCGCATGGCTGGGTTAAAGTAACTTTTATTTACGATCAGTTTTTACTAGAGGCGCAATAAATTTTTTTTATGATACACAGAAATAACGCAGGTCGACTTCACGCACTTCGTTTTGGGTTTCGGTGATAACCAAACAACAGGATTTCGCGATTAAGCGAACAAATCGCTTCGTCCGTGCAGGGCACACATTTATTTCTGAAATAGTAGGTAATTTATCCGCGAAACGAGATCCGCATACTCGTACGTCTATCAAAATAAATGATATACGTCACGTATTGAAGCAACAGAAGTTATGTTGCAAAATAATCGTAAAAATACGACAAACGTTATCATATATTTATAATAATACTAGGATCCATTTTTTTGTAACTATTAATTAATAGTCGTTTAATTAACATTATCTTGTACATTATTTTAATGACGCATGTTAATACTTTTTCAATCGAAAAGTAATCTAAAATCTTGGAGTAATCATAATTATCTCTATATCGAACATTGTTCTATTGTTAATATAATTTTATATTGTTAAAGAAGTACAATCTGACAGCCTCGTGTAATTTACTTGACTCCACAAGTCTTCTCAATTATATCATGTGTTATCATCGAATGCTATTAACGTGAACCGTTATCGATATTTACTGTGCACTTTGGTTACCACCTGTTGACAGGAATGCACAAGCTAAATGTCAGAATAGATACCGTTTAGTTTAAATAAAAAGTTAAATTTCGTTATAATTAAATCGTTCGTAGCGTTTGTAAAAATCTGTTAATGTATTATTGAAAAACGCTTGCTACAAAAATAAATCCAGCTAGAAATGAATGGTCGATCGATGTTGGATCAGCATCGATTCGATGTTGATCGATCAATCATCTCTGGCTGAAAAAAGTTTTACTATTTCAAGTAATTTATTGGAAATTTGATTAACTTCAGCCAGATTACATATAATCGAATTCGGAAAGTCATACACAACGTTCGACATTTGTTTCCTCGACACGATTTGTAATACAATAGTATGTCGAAATATCGAAAAGGGCATCGAGCTGCTTTTTCTTCCTTTTTTTTTTATTTTAAAATAAATCGGACATTTTTTTGCGCACCCCTGATCTACGGACTAATTCTAAGTCTATAACATGAAAGAGGAACGAAGTTTTACTACCTCTACGTCGCATTTTTAAACGTTTATATTTTATGCAAGCGCATGTGCATCCGGTGCACGTTGCGTGTTACATAAGATGTAGATAGACGTTGGAGCTAGTAAAACAAAGTGACCTAAGTAGCAGGGTCCTCAAATCGTTTCGCGCGACACGTCGAAGTGCTGTAAAACGCTCGATACGCATAAAATAAAAAATTACGATCGTCCGAAGCCACGTTCGCGAAGTTTTTTACGTAACTCTAGCTGATCGACGAAATCGGATTTGCTGATGAGAAATTCGCACACAATTCGCGTATTTGCTTTGTCGCCGGCGCAAACGAAATTTGAGAACGCCTGATCTAATGAACGCAACATCGATTATGATTATTATAGTAAGTACGACGAATCTTTTTTTTTTTTACAAGAGAGATATTAGAATATCGGAGAAGGAAGGAGATCGAGAGACGAGGAAAGAGTGCGAGGAAATCGTACAATATGTCGTTTCGTATGAAAGTTTAACGAAGCGAGCGTTCAGAAGCTGCGGGAGAAAAATTATTCCACGCGCGTAAAGGATTAAGGAAAAATTCTTTCTCGCACGCAGTGCTTGTTCTGGGGGAGGAACTCGTCGCGGTATACGATTTCAATTGCAGATAGTAATATCTAAAATAAATGTAGCCCGGATGTGGAGCGTCATCGATTCGCGGAGGCGCGACTCGAAGGAGTCCTCTTGTTGAATCAGCGAAATACTATGTCTATTTACTTCGTTTATTTCACGACAGCAATAAAGTTGCTAATTCATACGCGGCTCATGCATAACAATAAATATAGCGAAAGAATAAAATGCAATAGCGATATCTGACGAGAATATCTTTACGGTACTTGCGAATTTTTTTTTCTTTATTTGTTGAAAGGAGGAAAGAAACATTTAATCGTAAAAGTCGAGCGTATCCACCGTACAAAATTAGGTTATAAAATTGTTTTAAGAGATCTGGATGTTAATAAAAAGAAAAAAAATCAACGAGTGAATGGAAACTCTAAGTCTAACCTGAATTAGTCTATAAAATTTTTAGAAAAACTTCGGCATTTATTATTAATTATTTCTTAAATAAAGTTTGAATTGTGTTCTATCAAACTGATATAGAGCAAATAAACGAAGTCCATTTAACGTGTCCATATTTGTGTCCATTATAAATATATAGATATATCTATTTGAAATTTATTTTAAATAAAAGCATTTCCGCTCGCAGCAATTATATTCGCTTCTACACAAACAAAATAAAGAGCGATTTAACAATGCAGTTGCAAACTGCCAGTGGTGCAACTAGGAGTGTGCAAAAGCTGTAAGTGTGCGAGGATTAAATGGTGAAATGTAAAATAGATCATTGGAATTTATCAACACCGATTAACTATAGTTGTATCTATAATCGTATCTATAATTTTTAATTAAGGAACTTATGCTATTTTTGTGCTTCGGAGGGAATGTACGTCTATACACACTCTACAGATTTATTTGAGAGAAGAGAAGTAATTCATCGCTCGAGTGCATTTATAATAGTTACGCCACTGGCAACGGACGATTCTGAGATCAGTGGTTCAAGCTCGAGGTAGAGATAAAGTGGAAGGATCGAGTCGGGAATGACGTTATTACGAGTTGTATAGTAATCTCTCTGCATCAGTGATCGTGTCTGCGATCTACGCTTGTTCCGAGCGACGCCTTCGTCCGGGGCCGCCGGCGTAGTTCGCTGCCGCGAGTCCCATCATGTGTTTCGCCGCCTGAGAACCGCTGTAGCCACGATTGAGACCCAGATCCAATCCTCGTTTGCTGCTGCGGACATACCGATTGAATGTTTATCACACTGTTATTTGAATCGACTATCTTGGAAAGGGTCTTGCTCCGACAAACACGAGTTCGCAAAACTCTAGAATCGTATAAAGCATTCGAATAGCACATCCCCACGTGTAATACGTATAATAAGAGC